AAACTGACCCATCATTTTCCTGTTATATTTTAACTAGTACTAAAATGCACATACAGTTGTGCATTGTGAAATGTACAAAGAAAAAAGTCAGGATACATTAAGGGAGGATAGAAATTCAGTGGCTATTAGCTTCAGTGGTGGAAAGGCTGCCATTTTTTAAAAAATATATAATTGTACTTTATAATCTAAATTACTAACTGTCAATAAATGAGTATGCTATTAACTCATAATAAACCCCAATTTAATCAGAAACAGAGAGGAGGTTCCCAGAGTTTAAAGTTTGGGCAAGATTAGGTGGAGACAAGTATTTAAGGACTGTTGAATTAATATGTATTCATTTTAATTAGCTTTCTGTACTTTGTGTTGCTATGGAGGAAAAAAATACAATTTGAAAATAATTCTAGATTTCTCCTTTTTTTAAATTTTAATTCAGTGCTACTTAGGAAAAATATATACTTTGTATACATGTTTGTTTGCATTTCTGTCAATCATTGTTCAACAGATAAGTTTGACTACTGTATGCTCACCAAAGAGCATGTTCGCCAAACCCTTTGCACTGCTGCATTGTAGTTGTTTTTGGAGTTACCTGGAGGTAAAATCAATATAGAAATTCCATTTAATACCAACTAAGTTAATTAGCAGAATTAGATAAGATTTGATGGAAATATTCTATAGCAGGAATGGAAATATCTGTTGCATTCTCTTTATATTTTAAAAATCCCACATTCACTCCAATTCCTTTATGAAGGAATTCAAGAATTTTGATACGGACTATACCAGCTTATTATCCATCCCTATTCACAAGTAATGTTTCATTAAGCAAAGTTACAGGAAGCTACAAACACAATTTTATTAACTGTAGTTTAACTGATTTTATTAGTTCCTTTTGATTTTGGCTGGTAAATCAATGAACATAATCCAGCCTTTCTGTGAATTCATTCCTGCTATACTTACTGCTATTGTACCAGGAAGATGAGGACAGAAAACTGTAAGTTAAAAAATCCTGACATGGGGCAATTCACCAAGAGACTATGGAGTGGAAAATGATTCACTAATTCAGCTTTTCATTTAGTTACTTGCAAGCCAAAAAGGGGAAAGAAAAAAAGAAAACAAATCTGTAAAAAGATTAACAGAATTCTAGGTAGGAAAATGAGTTGGAAGGACTCAGAAATCAAAATGTATTCTTCTTCATGATAGTTGACAGTTTTCAATTCCTCCTTTGTCAACTCAAGCATACTAGTATTTTTCCCCCAGATTATTATTTACTAAGTAGCTTTATTTACTAAGTAGTTAGCTTCCTAGCTGTGATTAACAGGGAGCAATAACTCCAGCTATGAATGCATACATAGTATTTAGAGAGCACAGAAATCTTGAATATCCTTAATAAGCACCTTTTTGTCCACACTTCTCTCATAGCGATAATAATAAAACAACCAAAAGCTAGCACCAGCCTTGGTTTTGGGTAATACAGGGATAGCAGAACATAAAATTTCAGAAGATAGGATTTACAGACAATCAGTACTCTGTTAACAAGGGATACCAATGTCAAAGGGTTTGGGTAACACAAACACCATTTTACCACAAGTAGAGTAGATTGTGGGTGATAAAATGGACTTTGCTATTGTTTTCCATCCAGCTAATAAAAGCATACCACTTTATGAACCAGAATCTTTCCAGGTGAGGAGCATTTAGCTTAGTAATAACACCAAATCTTCTCAAACCTATTTGATAATTTTAAACAACAGATACATATATTCTATTCCTTAGCGTCAGGTATTTCTAAAGACTCTGAATCACATGTCAGAATTGATGGATGGTGGGTGGGTGGGTGGGTGGATGAATGGATGGATGGATGAATGAATGGATGGATGAATGGATAGACAGGCAGATTTTTTTATTGGATGCTTCTACTAGTGAAGCTCTTTTACACTCTTACCTGGGACCAAGGAATTAAAAAAAAAAATCTTTAGACTATTTAGAACTATGCATGCTTAATCCAGTAATCTTTTATTTGTGGTGATTTCTTATATCTTACATGTAGCCACAAAAGCATTTGTGCTGATTTTGTTTTATCGATTAGTGCTTGATTTTATTTTAATATTTCATTGTTACTAACTTCCCAGAAAACATTGGTACTAGGAGACATACAAACACAATAAATAAAAGGCCTCGCTGGTTCAGGATCTTCAGATTTGTGACGGGTTGTATTACTGTCCAGAGCTTACCAGGGGTATGATATGGAAATAATACAATATATTTTATTTTTATTACTTTTTCCTGAATTAATGCAGGGAAGTTTGAAAGCCTCAAATCCAGCAAATAAAGTTAATAAAAAACCTAACCTGCCTTTGCCCAGTGCTCCTAGTAAAACAATTTAAATGGAATTGAAGTTGTGTTGGACACTTCTATGAATAAATGCTTTTACTATGACTTTTGTCACATCTGAGTCAAGACTAAGTGGCAACATTCTGCGTCATTTAACAAGATTGATTTTTCAACTCATCTTTTGCTTTGTCCTTTACTGCATCCAGCTTCTTCAAACCAATACATGCAAGAAACACTTGGTGTCTTCTAAGCGGTGTTCTAAAATGGGTTTCCTATTCTATATGTGTGTTATTCTCAGAGAAGAATCAGAGCAAATCCCAGTGTGTCAGAGGTCTTATAATAGAAGTGGTAAGCTGCCTTAATGGATGTAATTACTATTATTTCTCTATCTGCAGTTTTCCAGGTGGAAATTAAAATTAGCAGCTTGGAATACAATGATTCTTTAGACAGACTGAATATTTAGTGAAACTCCTGGACAAATCTTAACAAGGGCATGAAGAAACTTATGTTGAACAAAATAAGAGAGCAGACACACCATCAGGTAATATAACTGGCAATGAAGATTAAAAAAAACAAACATGTCATCATATATCATGCCATTTACTAAGATTGTGATTGATGGGACAGCATTGTTTTCAGCTGTGGTATATATGAATTTGTATGTGTATGAAGATGTGCATTGTTGAAGCAAGCAATAAAGTAATGGCTTCTAGCATATATATTTCAAACTAATTAATTTTGTAACTAATCTATAGAGAAAACAAATATGATAGATAGACAAAGCCAAATTTATGGTCAATATTCTAGGCCCTGAAGACCACACAGGAGCTACATGCACACATAGCCATCCATATATGCATAAATATACATAAACAAACATCATTCACACATCCCTCTGTCTTTGCATCTCTCACTTCTAATGATCCCTGGTACCCATATTCTCTAAAACACTGATTATGCTACTTTTGCCATGTTTTATGGGAAAAGATTTGTAAAAATGATAAGAGGAAATGTTGTTGAGATGTATTAATTTGTCACTTCAGCAATATGTAATTTTGCTGTCTATTCTGCCCATGGCTTCAGGAATTCATTCCTCCCTCCTCCATTACATTCTCTTAAATCTTAAAGGGAAAGTCGTGTCTATTCTGGCTGATGATGATGGAGTCAGTTGATTATAATTTTTTAAAAAATCACATTTTTTAAATTATAAAAAAGAAGCAAACATAGAAATCCCTAGTCTTGTTAATTATCATCTTATATAACACCAACTATATTGTAATATATATCAGTAACCAGTGATATATAATTTAGGCAAATTTGTCTGATAAGCAAGATAAGGACATCATATTAGGCTTATGAAAGGCATGTGGAAAACAATTAAATTAACAATAAAAGAAAGAGTCATTCTGCCAAATTATTAGGCAGGTTTCAACACTGTGCTCCTTTAACTGTTTAATTAATTTTTTAATTTAACCAGCCAAATTAATAATCTCCCTCAGAAATATGCACGGTGATTATGTGCCCTAAAGTCATGTACAGTATTTCAAGTGATAGACTAATTTTCTTTTCAGAGCATTACTGGTAGAATTTAAAAATGAAGTTTTAATTCAGCATAATATTACCTATGCATGATTATATACTTAATACAGAAGTATAGTACATTGTGCTACTTTCATTTATGTCATAGTCTTTTAATTGATATTCAGTTTCTACCAAGATCATATAATCCTGTAGCTGAAGGTCCTAAATCTTTTTTCTTTTTTCTTTATATATATTTTTCCCTTTCCTCCCCCTCTTTTTTTCCTTCTCTTTGCACTTTTTCTTTTTTCTTTTTCTTTTTTATATTTTTCTTAGTTTGTATTAGTTTTTCATCTTTGTATTTTTAAACTTCAATAAAAATTATTACTAAATTTTAAAGGATTCAGATTTTCCTCCCTTATACATAGTATTTGTCCTAATTTGTTATCCCTAAGTGATTGTTTCATGTACCACCTTTCATACTGTAATACTATATGATCCCTGAGACTGGAAAGTAAAAATTACCCAAATACCTTATGCTGAACTTTATTTTTTACCATAATAGTTATGGAACCGGCATATTTCACCCTCTATCTACAAAGCGGTGTTTCACTTTTTAACTTTTTTTTCAAAGTATGATAACTTTTCATTAATATAATTTATGTTCAGGTGGCAATTCATATATCTGCATTGTCCATCTTAACAATTCTGATTTCATCAAGGTCAGAACAAAGTAAATAATGTTTTATAAATATAACTAAAAAAAAAGTATTACAAGAATACTTCTCATCTTTGGTTATAGTTGACCCTCTCAAGATATGATATATTTGTATTTAACTGTTACAGATATTTATTCATTGCTGACATGGGAATAGTATGAGAAGGTCTGGGAAGACTGCCATCAAAACTTAAATTATTCATTGGATTGTCTTGTTTTGGCCCTTCCTTTCCCCATAGTTCCCAACACAAATGTTGGAATAAATTTGTAAATCTATTAACACATGCAGGGTGCCGGGCTACATGTGTTTAACAGGTTATTTTTAATATTTAGTCAATGTAAATATATAGTAGAAGTAAAATACCCCCAATAATTAATCCTGAATTGATACAGACATTGCTAGCAATCTCTCCTCCCACCCCCTGCAATAAATTCTTACCATAACATTGTATTCCATCACCGCTGTATCCAAAGGGACAGGGTCCACATTTGAATGCTTTATCCTTTGTTAATTCACAGGGCACACCATGGAAACATGGCATATTTGCACAGGTGACTTTCCTACTGAGTGGTCTCCAATTAATTGCCAAATGGTTTATACCTGAGGCATAAGGCTTTCTGAATGAAGCAGTCCTTCCTGGAATTCTTGACTGCGCAGAACTCCCTACTGCCTGGTTACGTTGATTTACCCTAACAGAAAATGATGTTTTCCAATGGAAAGAAGACGGCAGTGGTGTTGTCGACACGGACAGTCTCAAATACTTTGCTTTAAAACCATGATCAGAACTAGTCTGTGTAGCTGAAGTCCCAAGAGGTTGTTTTCCATAAGATGTCACATCAGTTGAGGTATGGCTCTGTTGAATAGCATGTGGCCTTGCAGTTAGCAGCCTTGCATCCATGTCTTCTTGAAGGGAGGTATTCCTTATGATATTTGTTTGAACATGCAGTTTATAGTCTGGGAGGATTTCAGCAGCTCCTGCTTCACTTTTTTGATGAAGAAGGACTCTGTGGGTACCATTTTTTACTTTGCTCAATAGAAAAGTTTTTTTCATAGATGATATAGGAAACAGAGGCACCACTTTTTTTTTGAGTGGTGTTTGAATATCAGTAGTTAAGGGATATCTTTCTGTATGAAAAGTTGTTTCTAGTTTTGGAATATGATCTTGTGAAAATGTAGAATCAATATCTTGTAAATTCTTTATGCCACCTTGGGCAAAGGAGATGTTGGCTTCCCCAGGGACTTCCACAGTTACATCAGGCAAACCTTTGGTAGAACTTGACACTAAATGAAAAAAAGATGGATCAGCACAAAATATTCTATATTTTCTTGTGACATATTTTTATAAAGACTATATATTTCATTGAAGATGTGTGATCAGGGTCTGTATATTTTTATGTCATTCCTCATCAGTCTCAGTTATTATTTTATTGGATTTTTTTCATACAATTTATATTCTGTTTTTGCTCAGGTGAGCATTGAAGGTGGCTCACCAAATTAAAAAAAAATATATATATTATTATAAATAATAAAATATACTAAATGCTACTAGTACTAAAACCAGTTAACAATTAAGAGCAGGTATCTTCTTTTCACAGATTTTCTAAATGCTGTGAGTGAAGCCAAACAGCTCCCAAAAGAATACATTCCACAATCTGAGAAAATGCAGAAGACACCTTTCACCCATCCACTAGATAGCTGCACTTCTGCCAACAGAGGCACTTTCAAAAGGGTAAATATTAATGGCTGGAGAGGTTTGTAACAATAGAGACAGTTGTATTGTCGAAGGCTTTCATGGCCGGAATACGATGGCTGGTGTGGGTCTTCTGGGCTGT